GTTTAAAGCTCGTGTTTTGTCTTGTATGGAGATGGCAGTTTGAGATAGCATGAAGTATGGAGATGGCTTTGGTTTTTCTGATCTTATTATTTTTTTACTAATTTTTGGTTTCCTTTTTTTTTAAGAAATTAATTTCATACACGATAAAGGTTTTAATGTACTAAAAAGCAAAAGGTAAAATAGAAAACTTGTGAAACAAACAATTGTAAAAAAAAAAAATTTAATGTTAAAAACTGTCTTTTAACCGTGTTTTTTTTTTAATTGTTTGATCGATTAAAACAGCAAGGAGCTGTTCAGCTGTGGCGCAGTTGTAGCGCACTTGCCTCAGAAACAAAGGATCCGTACTTCAAACCCCACCTCTGGGTATGTTTTGCAAAATCTGTTACGATCGAGGCGTGAACTTCCGAATAAATCCTTAACCGCGGGGCTCTGTGATTTTTTTTTTCTGATTAACATCGTATAATATTATTATAAATGCACGTATACATATGGAATCTCATAAAATAAAATATAAAAGTATATACATTACAACAAAATTAAGTTAAATCAGATAGGGGCTCAAAGAAGATAAGGATAACATTACGTTATCGCAATCTTTTCATAGAACCCCTAGGTACAAGTTTAAATAAAACAACGTAAGAATAAATAGCTCGTATAAAAATATAATAATAACAATGTTATCATTAAAAAGTCAAGACAAGGTTAAATTAATCAAAAAAGTAAAAAGAAAATAACTTTATTTAAAGTTAAAAATTTCTTTTTTTAATTGAAACTTAAATGAGTTTAAAGACTTCACCATAAATTTAAATTCCTTTTGACAGTCATTCCATAATTTAGGTCCTCGATAAGATATACAAAATTCTGAGAGTTTATTACATATTCGAGGCAAATTAAAGTTTTTATTTCTATTTGATCTTAGACAATACTTTTCATTTGAATTTATTTTAAACTTATCTTTGAAGTTTACTGGCAAGAGGTTATTATAGTATCTATACATAAAAATTAGATGCTGTTAAGTATTTATTTAAAATATATCCATCATTTTCATATCTCTCATAGAAGGTTTTGCATGTTCACGTTTATGTTTACAGTATATAATACGGCAAGATGTTTTTGGAGCCTCTAAATTTTTTGAAGTTTTGAAGTTTGCGTACTTGCCCATGATATATTTGCATAATTAATAAAACAGTGTATCAGTCCAAAGTAGATTAATTTGAGACTTAACATATTGACGTATGGTCTAACCCTATACATTACGCCAATAGTTTTGGTAACTTTTGAATGTATGTAATTTATATGGGGAAGCCAGGATAAATTTTTATCGACAAGGATTCCAAGGAATTTTATACTTGCTTGTTTTTTAATTATTGTATCATTTAAGTACAGTTTTTTTTTTTTTTTTTTTTGCCGTTTCATATATTTACAATATAGACATATTACATTTATAAAAATTGGCCGGAGCAAGAAGAAGACAATGACTGTTTTATCGCCAATCCCCGTTTACAAATTGCCCGTGTTTATAAACAAATATAAATAAAATATACAAAAAAATGTTAAAGAGTACATAACTTTTGTCAAATAATAAAATGACATTTATATTAAAATTTAAAAATAAAGAAAGTTTTGTATACTAATACAAATATATTTGATACATATAACAAAATATATTTAGTGCTAATGGAAGCGTTTTTTCTATTTTAAAATTACCTTTTAAAAAAAATAGTTAAAGTCTATTGAATTAAAATCTAATTGAAGTAATACTCTTTTAGAAACTGTTTTAAATTTTTTTAAAGTGTAGTGTTCTTTATTAAAGTTTTTAATACAGTTTTTCCATAAAAAACAGTTCGCGCAATTTAAGAGGAATGTTTAATTCTTGTGTTTTTTTATGGGATAGAGTATAGTTGGTTTTCTCAACATTAAGTGTGAGTCTGTTAGCTTTAAACCAACTATTTACTTTATTCAATTCTATGTTCATATCTGTATAAAGATGTTTAATATGATTATTGGTAAGAAATAAATTACTATCGTCTGCAAACATTATTGAGTTCAGTTTTAATGATGTATTACAAAAGTCGTTAATATAGATTAAGAATAAGAGCGGACCAAGGATTGATCCTTGTGGAACTCCGCAAACGACATTTAATATTCCGGATTGCACATTATGAACATATTGCTTTCTATTGGTAAGAAAACTTTTAATCTAGAAATAGGTTGTACTAATTATACCATAATGCTTAAATTTTTGAAAGAGAATGCAAATGTCAACTGTGTCGAATGCTTTAGATAAATTTATAAATACTCCTAAAGTAAATTTGTTATTGTCAAACCCTTCAGTTATTTGGTTGACTATTTCAATAATTGCATGCTCAGTCGATTGATTTTTTTGAAATCCGAATTGTTTTGGGTAGAATAAGTTATTTTTAGTGAAATATTCGAATATTCTATTATAAATTACCCGTTCAAACAATTTTGAGAATACAGAAAGTAAAGATATAGGTCTATAATTTGTAATGTTCGAATGATCGTTACCTTTGTAAATTGGGATTATTTTAGCTATTTTAAGAGCATCAGGGAAAACACCAAGCTTTAATGAGAGTTTTAGTATATGAAATAAAGGTTTGCTTAAGCTAGTTTTGTTAAAAATAACTATGTTGCTAGGTATTTCATCAAATCCTGGGAATTTTTTTTTTTTTTTAAAGAAGAGAATGCTGTTTCAAATTCTTTAAAGCTTAATTCATTGTCATACAATATTTTGTCATTAGAGGGTTTTAGGTAGGTTTTAAATGATTCTAATGTTGGTGTTATCTTATTGGCAAGATTTGGGCCAACATTTGTAAAATACTTGTTGAACTCTTTTGTTATTAAGTTTTCATTTCATATCAGTGTTATCAATATTAATTCTTTTTATTAGTAAAGATGCAATGTTTTTATCTTTACCAATTATATTATTAATTATGGACCATGTTTTTTTACTATTAAATTTGAATTTGGAAATTAGCGTACTGTAATAGCTTTTTTTTTGCAAATTTAATTAGTGCTTGGTAAAAGTTTTTATATTTTTTGTAATTTTTTTCGTTACAGTGTTTTTATTTTTTAGGAATTTATTATACAATTTTTGCTTTTTTTTAGAATATTTTAACAGCGATTTATTCGTCCACGGATTAGCTAGTGTTTTCGCCTTAACTTTTATATCCTCGTATGGGCAGGTTTCATTGAAGTGCTTCTATAATGTACTTAAAAAATTGTTAAAAGCCTCGTTAGTATCTTGACATTTATATACACTTCTCCACGTTCCTTGTTTTAATTTACATGTTAATTCATTAGTATTGCTTATTTTTAGGATACGTTTTTTCAAATTGATAACATTTGGTTGACTGTCGGACGCAGTTTTTAAATAGTTTACTTTTAAGAAAATAGGAAAGTTGTCACTTATATCTGTCTGGAATATTCCGGATTCAAATGTTGTTTCTAGGTAATTATTAATGAAAATATTGTCAATTGCAGTTGCTGAATTTTTTGTAACACGTGCGGGTTTATTAATAATTGATAAGACATTGAATTTAAAGAGCATATCAAAGAATGATTTTGTTTTAGGAAATTTTTGGTAAGTTAGAGCATCTAGGTTCATGTCTTCAATAATAAACAGGCTTTTATTTTCTTTATTAATTTTTATAATAGTTTTTTTAATAAAATTTTTGAATGGTTTAATTTTACCATTTGGTGGACGATAAATACATCCTACTAATATATTTTTACATTTATTGTTAATAATTTCGATGAAAAGACTTTCATAGTTGGTATTTGAGAGACTATGTAAAATTTTTTATTTTATAAGTAAATTTATCGGAGACATAGACCCCTAATCCTCCGCCTTTTTTTCCGCTGGCTCTTGGTTGACTAATTAAATTATAAGATGGCAGTTTATAGATATGTTCAACTCAATATAACTTTCTGTATCGTGCCAAGTCTCTGTAAGAGCTATGACATCAAACGCATAATTTACAATCCTTGAAAATTCTTTCAATTTGTCAATATTTTGCTGCATGCTTCTAAAATTCTAGTTTTTACGCAAAGTATACGCAAGAGAGAAAGACGTGTTTTTTAAAGAGAAAAAATAACTGATAATAAATAAAGTTTTTTTTTTTATTTTTTTATTATATATGACATGGTTCTTTATTTATAAAACTTGAAATTGAAAAAGAATTTGTCAATAAAAACAATATGGCACCACGTTCAATCGAGGAGATGTTTATCTATTTAAAGTGTGACATTTATACATTTGAAGAAAATTTTTTGAAAAATATTGAGGAAATTTGTTCTCATCCGAAAGACTTAGTTATCGCAAGCATGAACTCAATCTCAGAAAACTCAATTCGAAACCTTCGAGAACGACTATTTGCTGAAATCGTTGAGACATTTTGTGCAGATGAATTTAGTGAGGCGAACATAACTCTAGACCTTACAAATCCTGTTGAAAAGAATCTTCGTAAAAGATACAAAACAAGTTTATGTTTAGAAGATATTTATATACTTTCAATCACATTATGTGAAAAACAACTTCATAAAGAAATTGTTAAGGTAATTATCTCAACAAAAAATGTGGACACTCTGCCCAACGACAAACTTTTAACTAAATCCGTAAAGGAGTTGTTACATATCTCAAAGGAAATTCAAAAAGAAAATAAAGAAATAAAAAAAGAACTCATACTTTTGAAAGAAAAAATAATTTTCCAAAATAAACTTATTGAAAAACTTAAGATAGAAAACAGACAATCGGAACTGGATATAAGTCTCTTACAGCCGTGTCAAATACCGAAATTAAAGATCGATGGTTATACGCAATGTGAAAATAAAATTAACAACCCAGCTGCTACAAAAAATCTAACTCAAACAACGCATGAGTCTTCTTTAAACGTTGAATACAAACCGCAACTATTAAAAACATGTAGTAGCTCAAACTCACTCAATCACAAATCAACCACAAATCGACGCCATGTTGACCACAAAAATAAATAAAAAAAACCAATATCGATCAACAACTACACGCATCAAACACGAACAATGATGAAAATAATTTTACTTTAGTGTGCCGAAATAGTAAATCTAATCAAAAAACAGAAAATCGTTCATTAGTAAAAAAACATAGAATTTCAGAGCCAGCCCAGCCGGCACAAAAAACGTACAATGTACGTTCAGTTTGCGTCTCGGACGTCCTAGAACCTTTTCTGAACCAATGAAAATATTTCAGACTTGCGTAGGACGTTTGAAAGACGTCTTAATTATATTTGGAAAGCGTGATGTGATTAGATAAAAAAACAGGTCAAACAAGCAACTAAACAAAATTGTAATTCTCGGTTTATAACGACTTGCTATATTTTTATTTTTGATGGTTAACTATGTATAGTTTTTAATTTTGGTAGTTGTTAAACCGCACGCCATTTTTTTTTATCTCAAATTAAAACTAATTCCATAAAAATGTTAATACCCAAATGTTTCACAAGGAGTTGCTTTGAAGTCAATTTAATAGTAAGTTTTAATTTTTTTGAAGATATTGCAAATAATATATTTTTTAAATTTTATATTTTAAAATACATTTAGTAAATGTATTTTTATATGATTCACTAAAAAAGTGATTTAATAAATATTTATATAGATAATAAATTATATCAAAACTTATTTTGTATAAATAGCTGTAGTTACACAATATATATATACATATATATATATATATATATATATATATATATATATATATATATATATATATATATATATATATATATATATATATATATATATATATATATATATATATATATATATATATATATTCAGGCCTTGTTTTGAACTTTTTTTTTTTTTGTCTTCTTTTCTCAACCTTTTTTGTGAGGTCAAGCAATTTTTATTTTTTATTTAATATAATTAGAATAATTAAGAAAAAATTGCTTAAAATTGCTTAAGAAGTACGAAAAATGCTTAATGCTTTAAAACAAGGTCTGTATATACTTTGATACTTAATAATTTGTGCATTAATTTAACATTAATTTGCCATTATGTTGTTTATTATATATTATTATAGTTTGATATCGAGTTTATTGCAGTTGCACAATAATGTCTGATGTTTATTTTGATTCTACTTCGATCTATGTTTATTTATTGTTATTTTTTAAGTATTAAAAGTTAAAATTATGTCATGGTCAAGAGTGGTATGGAAGGAGTCATTAAGGGAAGAAGAAATGACCATTCCTACCACCTGGATTATAGAAAACAATGTTTGTTGGCCAATAGGCATTAATGTTGTTCGAGCTTGTTTGCAGCAATGGCCACCGAAGGACGACTGGATCAAATATCCAATTATAAAAGTTAAGATTCAATCAGGTAATATTACTATTTTTTATTGGAATATTTTTTGGCTTTTATGTTCTTTTTATATGAAGTTATTTTACTTTCCTTTATAGATGACAAAAGTTTATGTGATGGCTTTGATTTCACATCTGACGAAGAAAATGAAGAGTTGCATAATCTAAAAAAGCGCAAAAGTAATTATTTTTTTTAAATTAAGCATATTGCAAACATATTGTACATAATATTTTACTATGTTTATATATTTTAGTTCCAATTGCTGCTAAAAGAAAATGTGTTTCTCCTATTGCACAATCACAATACCAACAACCGTTTAAAACTCCTATTGCTTTGATTCATTCTTTGTCCCCAACTGCATCACAATCCTCATTCTTTTTATCTTCTACCAATCAGGAAAATACCATTTCTCCTGTAATTTTACACCCAATTCATCAACATCCACTACAATCAAAAATACCTCGGAGAATTTTAAGGACATCCTTGTTATCGCAGCTAAATTCTCCATTTAAAACAACTGTTTCAAAAAGGGATCAGCAAGAAAGAACAAAAAATTTGAATATAGCATTAAACAAGTTTCCATTAACTGAAGCAAGTATGCAAGAATTTATATTTAAAAGTTCTTACATTATGCCTAACAATATTGCAATGTTGTTCTTATATATGTTGAATGTTTTTATATTAGTTTTAATAAATATTAATTTTTTCATATATAAAGATGATGTAAAGCAAAAGTTTTGAAATGACATTTTTCTTTTATTCTGGTTATATTGATTTTTTTTTTTCAATTCTACAGAATTTTAGTATAAAGTTCTTCACAAATTAGAAGGGATTTTACAGGAAACTAAGAAACAAGGCAACCACGATAAGTTACCTGATTTACCATATTTTATATATCAAATGTCTGATTTGGAACATTTTCAGGAGTTTGATAATGGATTGAATGTAAATTGTCAATATACTAGTTTAGTAAGTTTTAGTTTAATTATATATAGGTGCAATTTCCAGATTTTGCTGTTATAGAACTTTTGTTGATTTTTGGAATCAAATAAGGAATTTTAAACACAAGTTACCCTAACATGTTTCATATATGAAATTCAAATTCTATCATTCATCCTTATCAATGAATAATTGAATTTTTTTTTAGAGAACCCAACTTTCCAAAATAGGTGGTGTCACATGCTACGCAAATGTTAAAGCAATTCTTTTAAAGTATGTATCTGGAAAATATTTCATTGCTTATTTTTCTAATTATATTTTTTGTCTGCAAAATTATGATCTACATTAAATATATGAAAGGAATAACACAAGTTCATAGCTGACATGATAACATTTCTTCAGCCAGCTGTACGCTATGATTATATACTTAAACTTATGCTATATATTACTTAATTATTCTATTTACTACCTAGACTAACGACAAACAAGTTAATGTCAAATTTTAATTTGGATGGTACAGGGAAGAAGATGCCATTTCGCAAGACAAATTTGATAAAGATCATTGTTGGTACATAGATATAATTTATTTTTTTAACTTAACTTGGGTTTTTAGTTTTATAATATAATTTGACTTATTAGTTTCAGTGTTGAAACTATACTGTATCATGCATATATCATAAACAGGTTTTTGTTGTTAATATTTAATTAAGTGTGTGAGGGCTAACATGAACTATTGTTCTAAACTTTCTTATGTTACTTTTTTTTTTCACAGAGGCCATGCCCAAGTATACTGGAAATGAAATCGAAAAGTGTATTGGTAATGTCCTAAAAAGAGCGCCGGACAGAAAAGGCGGTGGTGGTCGTGAAAAAGAAAGCAACGACAATGACAGTATTCAAGACATTTTTTAAAATCTGTAGACTGAAATATTTTGTAGATTGTGTGTACTTTTAATTGTGTATTCAAATCGTGTATTAAGGCGAAACTGCTCCCGTTTCCATTATCTTTTCAACCTTAAAATCATGAACCTTTCAAATTTCTGTAACTGCTAAATCATGCATTATTTAGCGTATTTAAAACATTCAGAACCTAATTTGTACGTTCAAAAGATATCTATTCTAAAACAAATGCTCCAGCATTTATTTTAGAATAGATATCGAACTGATACCGCTAGAGCGATACTTGTACGCCTATGGAACTTAATTTCCATATGCGTACAAGTAATCCTGATATCGCTTAATTAATTATTTAGAACTATTATAGAACGCGTGCCTATTTCCAGAAAACTGAACTTAACTAGAACGTCTTATTTAGGTCACTATATGACGTCTTTTGAACGTCCGAATAGGACGTCTTTTGAACGTCCGAATAGGACGTCCTTGAGCGTCTATACATTGATATGTTTTGAACGCGTCTAAGACGTTCCGTCTGAACGTTCATTGTATGTTTGTTGTACGTCCCCGTGCCGGCTGGGAGTGTTCGGAACAAAAATTTCTGATAATAAAACAATTGCAGGTGAAAGAATAGTTCGTAAATTTGACACTTTTGTCGGAGGGGTAAGTAATCAAATCAATGAAGAACTTTTTAAAAACTATCTAGAAACAGAAATAGGAATATCCCCCTTATCTGTTATATTGAATAAAGAAAATGAATACAATAGATCATACAAAGTTACAGTAAACAACACAGAAAAAAATATAATATTTAATCCTGCTTTATGGGATAGCAATATAATAGTTAAACCATACTGAAAAAAACGTTTATATACTAACATATCTCAAAATCTGGAAACTAACGGAAACCAGGAAGATTTTCATAGATCAAAATGGATTTAGGGAAAATTTTTAAAGAAGATAAACTTCCAACAACATTTAATCTATGTACTTTCAACTGCCACGGTCTAAAGTCTAATTTTGAGTATACCAAATCGTTGATTCTCTCTCATGACATAACTTTTATATGTGAACACTGGTTATCGAATTTAGAATATTTCATAATAAAAAATATTTATAAAAATACCCACTCTTCATTCTTCCACCAGGCTAACAAACATGAGCAGGGTCGACCGTTTGGCGGAAACGCTTTTTTTATTCGGAAACATTTGTTTCAAAACATTATTATTCTATATGAAGATGATCATATCTTCGCAATAAATCTTAAAAAAAATCAGACTAATATTATTATTATTGGCATTTATCTTTAATCGTCGCGCAATAATCAAACATCACTGGAGGATTACAAGAGTCAGTTGGATATAATTTCAGGTGTTATTAATAACTACGAGGGCGTTGCTGAATTTATTGTCCTTGGTGACTTTTTCAATCTTTTCCTCACGGAATATATGATTCATTAAAGAGAGCTAGCTCTACGAAAAATAACTACTCCGTAGTTTTATTAAATTTTATTAAGTCGAATAAACTTGAATTAGTGGACGTAACAAAAGGCTCTGGACCTAACATAACGTATCACCATAGTACATTACCAAACGCATCTTACATAGATCACATAGCTTTCTCAAAGTATACGTCTCTTCTTTATTCCAATTGTTTCGTAATTCCTTTTTTATCTCAAAACATGAGTGATCATTTACCAGTATCGATTGAAGTTGGAATTATTGGAAAATCTTCTCAAGAAAACAATCATAAAAACTCAGACAAGTACAGTATTCCAAATTATGCCTGGAATAACAATGATTTTTTACAATTATATAACAATCGCTTAAATACTAATTTTAATTTTCATAATTTTACGAATCACAATTACGATGAGTAACTTATCAAAGTATATACTGTTATTACAAAGTCGGCATCTGAGGCACTTAATCAATATTTATCCATGAAAACACCGTCATTGTATTCAAAACCCTGGTGGACACCCGAATTAAGCCGTAGTAAAAATGTTCTTTCATTTTGTTTTAAAAATGGCGGGAAACTGGGTTCGTTAAAAACTTAAACTCGCAAATTTTTATTCAATACCGGATGGCACGAAAAAATTTCCGCAATGCAGTAAAAAATGCTCAAAATAAAAAACTGTACAAAGAATACATAAAAATCGAAACGTTAAAAAATACAAATCCAAAATATTTTTGGAAAACTTTCAGAAATATAAAAAAAGATGCAAATTCGAAATTGTATATCATAAATAATAAAAAAGATAAAGACTCGATCACGAAAGAATTTGCCTACAGTTTTGAAAATCGATTAAACTCTAAAGCAAACACATATACCTCTACAAATTTAAAAATTCCACCTTGCACAAAATTCGATGAGGTAATAATATCGGATGAAAATATAAAAACGGTTATTTCTCGCCTTAAATTAAACAAATCCAAAGACGACTTCGGAATATCAGCTGAACATTTAAAGAATGCGAGCTGTGAAGCACTAACAAAATGGCTCAGAAAATTTTTTAACTTTTCTATTAATCATGGACAGACCCCAAAATCGATGTCTACATCACTTATAATACCACTTACTAAATCGTATAAGAAATCTTTAACTGATCCAAATAACTACCGCGGCATTAGCATCATTCCAATCTTTACAAAACTAATAGAATATCTTATCCTACTAATCTGTCCAGAAATAAAAAAAACTCATCCTCTTCAATTCGGTTTCACTAAAAATAGCTCAACCCTACACGCTGAATTTGTTATTAGTGAAACAATTAAACACTACAACAACAACAACTCACCTGTCTATCTCTGTTCCCTAGATGCTGAAAAAGCGTTTGACAGCTGCAATTGGGACATTCTGTTTGAGAAACTGTACAATGATAAAAAACTCCCTCTGTATATTGTTAATACCATATCATCATTATACTATGAAAGCAGTGCTTCTGTTTCTTATCTAGATTGCAAATCATATCCTTTCTATCTAACACAAGGAGTGAGACAGGGATCTATTCTCTCGCCTCATTTGTATAACATTTATACTCAAAACCAACTAGAAACCTTACAAAACGAAAGCGTCGTAGGTACATCAATCAATGGAAACTATACGGGTGTTGTAGCATATGCTGATGATATTATACTCCTTAGCTCCACCCTCTCTAGCCTACAAAAGCCTATTAATATATGTAATATGTACACACACAAAAACTGCATAAAATTGAATGCTGACAAAACCGAGTTCCTGCTCACCGGAAAAAAGCAAATTAAAAACTGCACAATAACTCTCAACCACAAACAAATAAAACTTCATGATAAACTTAGTCATCTAGGCTTTAGATGGGATACAAAAAGTTCCCCTTTTGCCTCACTTAATAAATCAAACATTGATCACCGAATATCTAATTTCCGGACGGTAATCCAAACCTTAATTCAATCAGGAATCCGTTTTGCTCACCCAAACTCCATTGTTCAGTTATATAAAACTTTAGCTGTTCCAACACTAACGTATGGTCTTGAGCTGTGTGAACATAAAAAAATGTTAATGCAAAAGCTTGATATAGTTGGAAAAAATGCACTTAAGTCACTCCTCGATGTTTCAAAACATAGCAAAAATTATATTCATACCTTATTTTCTATTAAAGATATATCAATTATTATACAACAAAACAAGCTAAACTTATTTATTCGTTTGATAAAAAATAAAATGACATATGATATTATTAGGTCGCAGCTGAAAAACAAAACAACCCCACAACATTTTTTAGATAGTATCAAAGGGTTGTGCAATAATCATGAACTAAATCTGGAGACAATAATGGAAAGTAAAAAAAAATAAAAATTGTCGGCCTCAAAAATTTAATTCCTGAAACGGATCTTCAGTCTCTAAAATGTGCAGTTGAGTACTGGAACTTAAAAGAGCAGAGAACT